TTCAGTGTATGTAGCTAAATATGAGACATATGGTCAATGTAGAGGCCAGATTAACTGTAAGGCTAATGAGAAATGGTTTTATTGTGGATAGGCAACAGATAACAAAGTTGACATACGAATACAAATATGTAGGAGGCTACACTCATCATCTGCTGTCAGGCTCAGGACCACAGAAGCTACACAACTATTAACACAGAACAGAGAGGCTTACACTTCAGCTGAATAACACACTTTCAAAAAAAAGAAAAAAAAAGCACTATGATCAGGCTATTTGTTTTAGATTCAGACCATCAGGAGGCCTGTTGTGTTGCTTGTACTTTTCAGGGACCAACAGAGAACTCGTGGCAACAAGTTAGAGACACAGTAGTGCTGGATACAATACATGGGCTTCAGTACAGTTACCAGATGACAGCTACTGACTGAGGAAAGGCTAAGTAGATAATACTAATTACTGTTTCAGGGAGGATTCACACTTAGAAACATTTAGTCTCGTCTTTGTAAAATGGGTTCCAACATGCAGTAAGCCATCATTCAGTCTGACTTCTATCCTACCTACACCTCATGGAGCTGCTTTACCATCTTACACCAGTGAGTTCCTGTCAGGGCATCAGCTCCATAAGATTCAGTAACAAAACTGAAACTGTAATTTGACTTAAAAACAAACATGTACTAAACTGATGCATGAGGACTGGGTAGCAAGAAAGAGAAGATGAAATAGAAAGCTAGAAGTAAATAAGTCAGCTTAAAGACTAATCGAACCGTCTAGTAGTTGTTTCCCACTCAATGGTAGTTAAAACTAATTAAAACAAACTGAAATTAACTGATGAATGGTTAAAATACACTGAACAAAAACATAAATGCAACATTTTGGTTTTTGCTCCCACTTTTCATGAGCTGAACTCAAAGATCTGAGACTTTTTCTATGTTCACAAAAGGCCTATTTTCTCTCAAATATTGTCCACAAATTTGTCTAAACCTGTGTTAGTGAGCACTTCTCCTTTGCTGAGACAATCCATCCACCTCACAGGTGTGGCATGTCAAGGTGCTGATAAGACAGCATGAT